AACCAGCACCATGAGAAAGAAACACCATGGTCATGCTGCCGGTCCAACGGCGCTTCCGAGGCCCCCGTGCCATTGCCTAACGTAACTTTCTACCGACTGAAACTAGCTCAAGCTAGCCCAGAGAGCCAAACGTCAATTTCTGACCGACAGAAGTGAAGACGGATCTTCTTTTCTTCGTCTTCTTCTTCGTTTTCTTGTTCTTCTGTGTTTTTCCTTCTTTCTGAAACCGCCTACTCTAGAAAACTAGCCCTTTGAAGCCTTCAGCTGCCATCTTTGGCGGCCGCTTCGAACGGAAAACACCATGCATGCCCGTCCCCACTGCGGCTTCCGAGGCCCCGGTGCCAGTGCCTAACGTCGCTTTCTGAGCCCGCTAGAATCTAGAAAACTAGCCTTTGAAGCCTGCAGCTGCCAGCTTTGGCGGCCGCTTCCGAAACAGGAAAACACCATGGCATGCCGGTCCCAACGGCGCTTCCGAGGCCCCGGTGCCAGTGCCTAACGTCACTTTCTGAACCGACTCGAAAACTAGCCTTTGAAGCCTGCAGCTGCCAGCTTTCGCGGCCGCTTCCGAAACGGGAAAACGGCATGGCATGCCGGTCCCAACGGCGCTTCCGAGGCCCCGGTGCCAGTGCCTAACGTCGCTTTCTGAGCCTGCTAGAAAACTAGCCTTTGAAGCCTGCAGCTGCCAGCTTTGGCGGCCGCTTCCGAAACAGGAAAACACCATGGCATGCCGGTCCCAACGGCGCTTCCGAGGCCCCGGTGCCAGTGCCTAACGTCACTTTCTGAACCGACTAGAAAACTAGCCTTTGAAGCCTGCAGCTGCCAGCTTTGGCGGCCGCTTCCGAAACAGGAAAACACCATGGCATGCCGGTCCCAACGGCACTTCCGAGGCCCCGGTGCCAGTGCCTAACGTCACTTTCTGAACCGACTAGAAATTAGCTCCAAGCTAGCCCAGAGAGCCAAACGTCACTTTCTGAACCGACTAGAAGTGAAGGACGGATCTTCTTCTTCTTTGTCTTCTTCGTTTTCTTGTTCTTCTTGTTGCTTCCTGGCTTCTTGTTTCTTGCTTCTTGCTTCTTGTTTCTTGTTTCTTGCTTCTTGCCCTTGCTGCTTGTAATGACTTCTTGCCACGGCCCCCAGTGCCTAACGTTGCGTTCTGAACCTACAAGAAAACTAGCTGTCTTCCAGCCGCCAAGCTTCACAAACGGCACCTTCGCCACACCAAAACAGCAGGGCCCTGAGGGACGGACCGGGCCTGCGGGCCACGGCCCCCAGTGCCTAACGTCACTTTCTGAACTTACAAGAAAACTATAGCTGTCTGACCCAAAACGGCGCCTGCGCCACAGCCAAACAGCAAGGCGCTGAGGGACGGACCGGGCCTGCGGGCCACGGCCCCTTCCGAGGCCCCGGTGCCAGTGCCTAACGTCGCTTTCTGAGCCCGCTAGAAAACTAGCCTTTGAAGCCTGCAGCTGCCAGCTTTGGCGGCCGCTTCCGGAACAGGAAAACACCATGGCATGCCGGTCCCAACGGCGCTTCCGAGGCCCCGGTGCCAGTGCCTAACGTCACTTTCTGAACCGACTAGAAAACTAGACTTTGAAGCCTGCAGCTGCCAGCTTTGGCGGCCGCTTCCGAAACAGGAAAACACCATGGCATGCCGGTCCCAACGGCGCTTCCGAGGCCCCGGTGCCAGTGCCTAATCGTCACTTTCTGAACCGACTAGAAAACTAGCCTTTGAAGCCTGCAGCTGCCAGCTTTGGCGGCCGCTTCCGAAACAGGAAAACACCATGGCATGCCGGTCCCAACGGCGCTTCCGAGGCCCCGGTGCCAGTGCCTAACGTCACTTTCTGAACCGAGTAGAAACTAGCTCCGAGCTAGCCCAGAGAGCCAAACGTCACTTTCTGAACCGACTAGAAGTGAAGGACGGATCTTCTTTTTCTTCGTCTTCTTCGTTTTCTTGTTCTTCTTGTGGCTTCTTTCCCAACGGCGCTTCCGAGGCCCCGGTGCCAGTGCCTAACGTCACTTTCTGAACCGACTAGAAAACTAGCCTTTGAAGCCTGCAGCTGCCAGCTTTGGCGGCCGCTTCCGAAACAGGAAAGCACCATGGCATGCCGGTCCCAACGGCGCTTCCGAGGCCCCGGTGCCAGTGCCTAACGTCACTTTCTGAACCGACTAGAAAACTAGCCTTTGAAGCCTGCAGCTGCCAGCTTTGGCGGCCGCTTCCGAAACAGGATGGCATGCCGGTCCCAACGGCGCTTCCGAGGCCCCGGTGCCAGTGCCTAACGTCACTTTCTGAACCGACTAGAAAACTAGCCTTTGAAGCCTGCAGCTGCCAGCTTTGGCGGCCGCTTCCGAAACAGGAAAACACCATGGCATGCCGGTCCCAATGGCGCTTCCGAGGCCCCGGTGCCAGTGCCTAACGTCACTTTCTGAACCGACTAGAAAATTAGCCTTTGAAGCCTGCAGCTGCCAGCTTTGGCGGCCGGCAGCCCATGGTTCCAAACGTTGCTTTCTGAACTCCCTAGAAACTAGCTCCAAACTTGGACTTTGCCCGCCCTTCATCGGCCACCTGCCAGCTTGCCCGTGCTCTCTTGGAGGACCGTGTCGCAGCACCAAAACACCATGGCAGCGAAGGACGGATCGGGCCCGCGGCCGGCAGCCCATGGTTCCAAACGTTGCTTTCTGAACTCCCTAGAAACTAGCTTCAAACCTTGCTTTTCCCTGCGTTCCTGCACTGCCAACTGCCTACTTGCTTGCGTCGTCTTGCAGCTGGCTGTCGTGCGGCATGGCCCTGAAGCTCCGGTCAAGGGAGCCCATCGCAGGGCTAAAACGCCATGGCAGTGAAAGACGGATTGAGCCCGCGGCCCGTAGCCCAGAGTGCCAAACGTTACTTTCTGTCGTGCTTCTGCATTCTTGCTTCTAACTTCTTGTTTCGTGCTTCAGCGAAGACGGATCGGGACCGCCGCCGGCAGCCCATGGTTCCAAACATTGCTTCTTGAACTCCCTAGAAACTAGCTCCAAACTTGGACTTTGCCCGCCCTTCATCGGCCACCTGCCAGCTTGCCCGTGCTCTCTTGGAGGACCGTGTCGCAGCACCAAAACACCATGGCAGCGAAGGACGGATCGGGCCCGCGGCCGGCAGCCCATGGTTCCAAACGTTGCTTTCTGAACTCCCTAGAAACTAGCTCCAAACTTGGACTTTGCCCGCTCTTCATCAGCCACCTGCCAGCTTGCTTGTGTTCTTTTGGCGGACCCTGTCGCAGCACCAAAACACCATGGCAGCGAAGGACGGATCGGCCCAGAGTGCCAAACGTTACTTTCTGTCGCTCGTTTACTCTTGCTTCTGCATTCTTGCTTCTAACTTCTTGTTTCGTGCTTCTTTCGCTTGCTACGTTCGCTGAGACTGCCCCTCCTTTCTCGCTTCCTTTTTTGGGCTTCTTACTCTGCACCTGGCTTCCCTTTCTGTCCCCCCTCGCTTGCCCCTCACTTGCACTGCACAACACTTGTTGCTTGTAATCTCTTCTCTGACGCGCTCCCCCTGCTGTCGGCAGGGGTCGGCGGATATGTATACACATGATTACACACTATATATATGTATATATATATATATGAACATACACATATTATGAGCGTCATGTTGTGGAAGGTAATGTTGTTGTTGATGAAGAAGAAAAATAATATGATAATGATGACGATAAGGACGAGGATGTTGATGATGATGACGACAACGACGATGATGATTATGTTGATGATGATGATGATGATGAGGATGAGGATGACGACGACGATTATGATGACGACGACGACCATTATCATGGCGACGATAATGATGACGACGACGACGACGATGATGATGATGATGATAATGATTTCGAAGATGATAATGTTGCTGATGATGACGATGATGATGATGATGATGATGACGACGACGCTAATGATATTGATGACTACGACAATGGTGATGGTTGTTGTTGATGAGCTTGTTGATGAGCTTGACGATGAGGGTGGTGGTGGTGGTGGTGATGATGATGATGATGATGATGATGACAACGATGATGATGACGACGACGACGATGATGACCATGATGATGACAATGAAGATGATGACGATGACGATGATGATGAGGATGAATGATGACGAGGATGAGGGTGAAGATGAGGATGATGATGATGATGATGAGATGATGATGATAATATTGATTTTGAAGATGATAATGTTGTTGATGATGACGATGATAAAGATGATTTTAATAATGACGACGACGATGATGATGACTTCGATGATGATCATGATGACGACAACGACGATGTTGATGATGATGATGATGATGACAATGATAATGATGATGATGATGATGATGATGACGACGACGACGATGATGATGATGATGACGACGATGATGATGGTGATGATGATGATGATGAAGATGACCACGACGATGATGATGATGACGCCCACAATGGTGATGGTTGTTGTTGTTGTTGTTGTTGTTGTTGTTGTTGTTGTTGTTGTTGTTGTTGTTGATGAGCTTGACGATGATGGTGGTGATGATGATGATGACAAGGATGATGATGATGTGATGATGATGATGATGGTGATGATGAGGAGGAGGAGGAGGATGAGGATGAGGATGAAGACAATGAGGATGATGATGATGGTGATGATGACGACGACGATGACAACCATGACGACGACGAGGACGGTGATGATGATGATGATGATGACGATGATGATGATGATGATGATGAGCGTGACAATGATGGTGGCGTTGTTGATGATGATGATGATGATGACGACGACGACGATGACGACGATGACGACGAGGAGGCTGATGATGATGATGAGGAGAAGGAGGAGGACGAGGATGAGGACGATGATGATGATGATGAGGAGGAGGAGGAGGAGAAGGTGGAGGAGGAGCGTGACGATGATGGTGGCTTTGATGATGATGATGATGATGATGATGCTGACGATGGTGATGATGATGATGATGATGATGATGGTGATGGGTCCGGTGGTTTTAGTGTCACCACAAAGGTCTGGACTCAGCGGCGCGCAACTGAAGCGGCTGGATGAGTTAAACAAAATCTGGCAGGAGGCGTCCAACCTGTTTGAATTTCGGCAACATCAATTCCTGAGACAGATCTGTAAGTCATTCAATTCAGTTTTGATAAACTTACTGGATGAAACTGTCATGCTGTCCATGTCCAGATTCTTGCTGAACGGCGCTCGCTTGGCGTCTCAGATATTTTATATTCATTGATATCACTGATATTGATGTTGACTTGATGTTGACTTGATGTTGACTTGATGGCAATTCATAGATACTCATAGGAACCTGGTTTTCGAAAGCCGAGGCAAAAGGCCCTGGCTGCCATTGCAAATGGAGAAGGCCCAACACAGTGCCCGCTCTGCCGGCTCTTCCGACTCTGACCGCTGCCAGCCTAAGAACTGAGCGTTTCGGCACAGGACCTCACTTCGTGGGGAATGCGCCGCAGAAAAACCAGCTTGGAGCACCAGCCAAAGTTGCTGGCCAGGAGCTCTGAAGTGCTCGTATTCAGATTTTTTTGATGCGGCTATGGTCGCTTTGATGTTTTGGTTTGCTCATCTGCTCAGGGTGATGCACACACTTTCTGCTCAGGTCAGCACTTCTCTGTTCCTGAAGGAGACCACATTGAGTCCCAAGTCACGCTAGTTGAGTATGAGGTATTGTAGATATTTTTTCCCAAACTTGAAATGGTGATGACAAATCAAAAGAGATGTGTAGTTCTGCTTATGATTTTGCTTGCTGAAATTCCATGTCCAGAACTGGATCCAGCCAATGCAAGCATCCTCCACATGGCCCAGCACCCAGGTCCATATGTCGAGCAGTCCATTGCAGTCTGTTCTTTTCACCTATGCTGCGTTTGCAAAGGCCCATCCTCGGAGCCGGGAGGTTGTCTTTGCCCCAATTTATATTTCCTTGTATGAGATCTGAGCAAGAGAGAGGGAGAGAGAGAGAGAGAGAGTGGTCAATTCCTCACTCTGCAAATCTGAGGCCATGCTCATGGCCGAGCATGCGAGGTGGGCTCAAAGAGATGCGCTAAAGGCACCTGACGCTTTTCAGGGAAGCATCGTTTTCGTACTAGAAGGTTGTGTCACATTGGGTTTGGAAAGTGTTGTGCAGAGAACACACAGATAGTCTACACCAGCATTGAAGATGTTTTTGTTTCTTACCAAGGTCACACACACACAGACACATTTGGTATGATGGAACACACAAGTTATTCCAAGAACAGTCAGAGTGGAACTCACTCTGCTGATCTGTACAGGCACTCTTCCTTGCAGCATCAGATTCTAATCAGGCACCTTTTGTGCTTTGCACCTATACTGAATCCAATTTGTCTCAATTCTGAAAAGTTGTGTTGGATATCTTGCCGATCAATTTTCTGGATTTCAGGCTTTTGAAGCTGCGCGTCGAGCGAATGAAGCTGTCATGCAGGCTCTTGTCACTTGTGTTGAGTGTAGAGCTGGTGGTTTAGCTTCCGAACTTTGGATTGACTTTCAAGTTCTTGGGCCAGGCTATGCGCCAGCCGAATGCAAGCTTTCCAGCATGTTACCTAGAAGTGCCTGTCACATCCTGCGTACTGCCTATCTTTCGATGTCTTTGGACGTCTTCCGATGACTAGGGAAGCATGGGGGAAGCACTGGGAGACTGGTGAGGTCTATGCTGAAAAGCCTTTGCCCTTGGAGCCATGGCTCGCTACCGAGAAATGGCCTACGGAATCTTGGACTCAGACATACGACTTCCATATCGAACCACACGATGTGGACACTCTCAAGATACCTTTAGTTTCTAGCCATGAAGGGAAACTTCTTGTCCTCCTCCTCCTCCTCCTCCTCATGATCATCACGATCATCACGATCATCATCACGATCATCATGATTGTCCTCCTCCTCCTCCTCCTCATAATCATAATAATGATAATCATCATTGTCGTCGTCATCATCATAATAATCATAAGCATAAGCATAATCATAAGCATAATAATCATAATCATAATCATAATCATAATCATAATCATCATCATCATCATCATCATCATCATCATCGCAGTGACATCACTGTTCCATAGCAAAAACACAATTGTTGTCAGCATGGCCCTTGCCCTTTGATCAGGACCCTCCAGATCCACTGCGGACAATGCCACTAGGCAATCCTCCACCTGGAGTTCATTTGGAAAGGTGGGGAAATTCGAAACGCACGTAGCCCAAGCCATGTTGTTCATGCTTCGATAATCCATGGAGGTTGGCTCAATGGTTCCAACTCCATCCACGACCTCCCATGGCCAAGCCTGCCAAGTACTCAGCTATGCAGGACCTGTGCAAACTTCCGTCAGCAATTTTGGTAACAGTCCCAGGATCTCACTCTGAACAAGATATGCCCAGGTAGATCACATTGATGTGAAGCCCCCGGACACTTCAAAGGGAACTAACGCCGAGGTTTGGGGTGAAAGTATGGAGCCAGCCGTCACGTTTGATATAACCACCTACTAGTAGCTACAGTATGGGGCTGTCAAAAGGATTCGCACCAGGCGCCAAGGAACATTTTTCGTAACCAAGTAGCATTGAGTCATATACAAATAGTGTTCACATGTTTTTACTAAATTTTAATCTCCGCATTTTTCCTCCGGTTGATCAAGTTCGTCCCCTAATCATTGGAACAAGTGAGCTGCGGTTGCATTTTTACAATGCCTAGAACATATTCCCATCCCTCAATCCTTTCATGTCTTATCGTCCAGTACAACCTTGGTGATGAGCACTCCTGATCAGGCTTGGAGCACCGTGAACGCAGCATCTGCTGGTCTGCAGGCGAAGGGGACTGGATTTGAAAAGTGGGTTGATTACACAAAGTGGACGAGGGTCCACACTCCTTACCATAGTCTACTGTGTGGGTGGCCACCTGACCAAAGGCAGTGGACTTCACACTGTTGAGTTTTTTTTGGTTACTCAGGTCTTAGAAGGGCTATTTAACGGCGATTGGACATTGAAAATGCTCCCAATTTGCTCAAGAATAAGGAGTAAGGCAGTGTGAGGCTGTTCTTGGGACCTTTTTCTAGGGAAGTTTATAATATATTGAAACCCGACATGCTATCCTAAGACCAGATCTTCCAAAGCATGCACAGGAACAGCTAGCATTTCAAAGCAACGTTGTGCAGCTGCACAAGGGTAGCTTCTTGTTGGACCGTGCTGCGGTTGATTGAGAGCAACATGAGCTCGTTCAAGCAGATGGAACAATCTTCAAACATCAAGATTTCTAGATTAAGGGTGGTCGAGTTCTTGTAAGTTCTCACTGCTGTTGGTTGATGGATATCAATGATATCAATAAAAAAGCAGTGGGATATTCGGACAGGACAGATTTCAGCTGGTTGCAGGCTCCATCGATGCCACATCGGGCACCAGCACCAGTGCCTTTCCTATCAGGGAGGGATCCATACATGAGCACCGACCTTAGTACCTCTCCCCATCATTTCCCAAAAATTAAAATCCAATCCTTGGTTTCTTTATCAAGAACTTGAGTCAACTTGAGACCTAAGCGCTTGCAGCAACCCAAGAAATACCAAGGCAAGCCTCCACCGCCTCCGGGTCCTGATGATGATCCTGATCCTCTGCCGGACTGCATTGACTTGATTGGGAATCAGCGACAAGGCTTAGGCACAATTTCAAAGCTGTTTAGGAGTGAATGAGGGAACATAGAAGAAATAGAGGCACACCTTGCCCACCTTGCTACTTGGATTTGTTCTTCGGGAAGACTCGTGCTTGAATTTGCTTTTGCAGGATCAGAAAACACCACCATCACCTGGTATTGCACCTCCAAAGGGAGGTCTGGCTGCGAATCAATTTTGCTGCTCTGTGGGGAGTTTCAGTTGACCTATCAAAGAAGCGAATAGATCCACTGGTAGTCTGACTATGCCTGACAGTTTCATACAATTTCTATGTTGCCTGCAGCATCCCGCAGCCTTTTGAGTCTGACGGTCTTTCTGCAGCATGGATTGGCATGGATCTAGTTGGTTTGGATAGCTTCTGTGGTTCAGGACTTCCACCACCACTGGAACCTCCAGCGAGCCAGCTGTGCGTGAGCGATGGTATCCTCATGAGCCTTGCCCACAGATGGACATTGAAAGTGGATTGAATTGGCTTGACAACTTGACAAAGCACTTTCACATTTCTGACAGTGACCATGTGAACCGTTTCCCATTCCCTGCTCTGAGCTTATCCTTGCCCTTTCAGTTTTTGTGGCAAGGCTCTTCTCTCCTGGAAAGAGCTGGAGCCCGAGCTCTCACAATCGACTCCCGGACCTGTTTTCAGTGTTTAAATTTGGACCAGAGATGACCAGAGATGACCAGAGTCATTGCACGTCTTTTTACATTTTTGATCAACTTTGTACCAGATCGTTCAAACAATTCATGCGGTGATGCACAGGCCCTTTCAACACGGAGAAGGACTGAATGCCTTGGTTAGCCCTGTGTACGTGCGTCTGCTTGTGCTAGCAGGAGGCGGCAGCGACGGGATGAGATGACAAAGGCAGGTTCATTGCATTTCCATAGATGAAATTACAAGTGATGCTTGCGTGCATAATAGAAAATTAATGACAATGAACATTGTAGAAACACGCGCTTCATTCCACCCTTGGATCCCGGCGATGTGAAATGCCGATAAACAAGTAATCATGCTCAGTTTTTTTTTGTGCAAATCCGTTGGTTCGTCGATATGTGCCACAAGACCTGTTCGCAGTTCTTCTGTTCCACCTCCACTGTGGCTGTCTTCTGATGCAGCGGCTGCTGGACTCCATCCTACTTTGAGCTAATGACAAGTGCGGCCAAAGCAGCCACTTGAGTCCCAATCTTATAGTGACTTCTTGAAGGCTCGTGTTTTCCTCCAAGGGTCTGATAGTCTGATGCCTCTACATCTTGCCTCAAAGTCAGGCAGCCAGGCATAAAAAGGAGTTGTGCAGGAGAGGGTCCAATGGTCTCCTGCCTTGGCGATCCTTGGGGTCTGTTTCAAAGCGTCATCTTTGGAATGTTTGTGCAGCCCTGACGACTCGTTCCACAAGCTTCGATCACCAATCTTAAGGCGTGGACGCCGCAGACGCCGCTGAGAGCCGCAGATCTTGAACCAATGCGGTTGGTTGAGGACTAGCTCTAGGGTCTGTCCACTCAGTTCTGTTCGAACTGTGGATATGTTTCGTATCGTGAGTTTGACCTAGTCGATAGGATTTCATGAAAGCAACTGCAGCCAACAACACGGTCAGTGGGCTTTTTGTGCGGAGTAATTGTCTAGGTGGTACGAACAATGACAGATGGCCAAATAAACAAACCTTTCGAGGTAGAATGTCAGTTGGTTTTGATTGGACTTGTCATTGGATTTGTCCCGGAGGGGCAGGTCCTCCAAATTCTGGTTGAGGTAGTTCTGGTGTGGGGAGCAAACAGAGGATTTGTTCCTCCGTGACCAGACAAGTGAGGTGCAGGTGTAAAATAGCTTCGGTGTATGATGTGGTGAAGTGCTTTATGCGAACAAGTCATGCAAGTGTGCCTTGTTGGAGAGAATGCTGGCACCGTGTGCTGCTGCCTTTGGTTCAGCTTTGGAAGCAATAAGCAGCTGAGGGCACAGTGTTGCTCATGCAGTTTGACAAAAAACATTTCAGCAAGTCAGCTGGATTCTTGAGGTCATAGGTCCAAGAAACTCACCTGGCATGGCAGTTGGTTTAGTAAACACGCTTTGTCAGAAAGACATGGAGATAGGAGATAAGCTCAAGCCACAGAACACAAGAATTTGTCTTTCGTTTTCTGTCATTTGTTCTTATCATCTACTTTTTTTGGGGCATCTCGGGCTATGGCTCTTTTTCCGCAAGCCTGTCCGAGCTGTTCTGTGCTTTCTGTAGGACCGAACAGCTGCGTTTGTTGGAGCATTGGCATGACAAAGATCTGAGCATTGGTCTGACCAGTCCCTGAATCTGAAGTGGCTAAAACATTGCACCCTCGATCTACCTAAACAATCTTGAAAAAGATGGAATAACTCTGTGCTCAAAAGCCTCCCTCAGGATCAAGATGTTCCCGGTGCCTTTTCTGCACTTCTGTCGTGTTCATGCCAAATTCAGTGCTTTGTGCATTTTCTGGTTGAGTGTTTTTTCTTCAAATGCCTCACTGAAACGACGCCAGGCCTGGGTCTTCATTCGATTCCAATCCTTCACTGCCGATGGGCTCCAACCCAACTCTGAGAAGTGCAAGAAGTGCAAGAAGTCCGGGGTCTAGCAGATCCCCTCTGTTTACAGCAGCCACAACTGGACTGCCCTTATTGGCAGCTGCACTTTGGAGGCGACGCGCACGAGCACGAAGTTCAATTGTTGGCTTTGCTGCCAATATCAATCTGGAGGCAGGTGAGAAAGTTGTTGGGATCGACCTGGGCACCACCAACTCTGCAGTGGCAGCCCTAGAAGCGGGAAAGGCTACAGTCATTCCTGGGGCCGATGGTGGTCGAACCACGCCCAGCGTTGTTGCATACAGCAAGACTGGGGAAATGTTGGTTGGACAAAAAGCCAAGCGGCAGGCGGTGGTGAATCCAGGTAACACTTTTTCGTCCGTGAAGCGTTTCATTGGACGATTGAGGAGTGAAGTAGAAGAGGAAGCTGCTGAGGTTTCCTACAGAGTAGCAGACCCCTCAGATGTGCTCGGAGTCCGGATACATTGTCCTTACCTGGAGAAAGAACTCGCGCCAGAGGAAATTTCTGCGCAAGTACTGAGAAGACTTGCATCTGATGCTGCAACGTACCTGTCAGCTGATGTAAAAAAAGCTGTGATCACAGTGCCAGCTTACTTTAATGACTCTCAGCGACAGGCCACAAAAGATGCTGGGGCGATTGCAGGTCTTGAAGTGCTACGAATAGTTAATGAACCCACTGCCGCTTCTTTGGCCTATGGCCTCGAGATGCGAGAGAATGAGACGATCTTGGTATTTGATTTGGGTGGAGGCACCTTTGATGTATCAGTTCTGGTTGTTGGAGGCGGAGTTTGTGAAGTGCTTGCCACCAGTGGTGACACAAAGCTGGGCGGTGACAACTTTGACAAATGCATAGTTGATTCTAGGCTTGCTTTCGAAGTCTTGCAGCATTTTTTTCTAGATTGGCACTATTTGCAGACTGACACAATTGCTGTTTGGATTGATACCTATGACTTATGACATGTCAAATGTATTCAAATGTGCATAGACTCAACAAGCAGATAGTTTCTCTAAGGATTGGCTGGCGAACAAGTTCGCATCCCGGGAGAGCATAGATCTTCGGAATGATCCACAGAGCTTGCAACGCCTGACAGAGGCTGCTGAAAAGGCCAAGATAGAGCTCTCAAGCTTACTCTTCACAACGCACCTTGGCGAAATCCGCGCAGTTTTTTTCCCCTTCAAAAAAACTACCTCAACGCTTCTTCTGGGGTAAGAAAGATGCCTTCAGCATGGATTTACTTTTTGAAGATGTTCGTGCAAGTCCAACGTGGCTTTCTGTAGGTTGTCACATGTTGTCACAATTCATTACTATCATTACTATTCATCAAATGGTTCCCCCAATTTCCCCCAAAAGATCTGAAGTTTGGAGAAAGTCAGGGTGGAGATCTGAGGATTTCTCTGCCCTTCATAGCTGTTGACGACTATGGCTCTCCTCTTCAGCTTGAGGAGGAGCTCAGTCGAAAGGAGTTCGAGAGCATTTGCGCTCCGTTGCTGGAAAGACTAAAGGACCCTGTGCAGAAAGCGCTCAAAGATGCTGGCTTAAGATACCAGGATCTGGATGAGGTGGTGTTGCTCGATTACACTCAATTGAACATAATTTAACCATATAATTGGTCCAAGGATGTCCAAGGCATGTTGTGATATTGACACACTGACACAAAAAAAGACACCGCATCACGCCGCATAAAAAACCGCATGCCACCAGTGATCTTTCCATTCGCCTGTCTGTCAGCCCAGGCTTGTTGGTGGTTCAACAAGAATGTGTGCTGTACAAGAGCTTGTCCGCAAATTAGTTGGTGGCAAGGAGTTGAATCAGAGTGTGTCTTGGCCTATGCAAGGCTATGGGCTATGTACCATTTTTGGGTTTATGGCTTCTTACTTATAACTCATGACAAATAGATATATACGATTCCATGGACTGCAAAGATGTGGTGGCACATACAACCATGCAGTTCGTCGCAGCCCTGGCATGGGAATTCATGGAGGCCTTTCAATGTCTAGGGCTTGTAGGGCTAGAGTCTAGAGGTGATCGAGATGCTAGAGGGGCTAGGGTTTTGTATAATATAATAATATGACTGAAATTCTCAAGAACCTCGGGGAGAGAGAGAGAGAGAGAGAGAGAGTGCAGGTGAATCCTGATGAAGTGGTTGCTATGGGAGCGGCAGTTCAAGCTGGAGTTCTCGCAGGGGAAGTTAAGGACGAAGATGGTGAGAGTGTAATGCATTGCATATTTTTTTGAGACCTGGCTCCACCGGATTCATGGTTCCCTTGTTTAGAGTCACTAGTCTTCTAAGCCGATTCTAAGCAAGGACCTGGTGCTGCTTGATGTGATTCCCTTATCTCTAGGAGTGGTCAGGACCACAGGTTTAAGAACTGATCAGCAAAGTCTTCCGACACAACAGCTGCATTTGATTCATTTGACAATTTTGACATCTGGAAATTCTGGAACCCTCCCTGAGTCAAACTTGGGACTCTGCAGATGCATCTCTCAGGCTACTCATGATGGCCTCAGCTCAGTTTTCCTTCCCCGGAACACTCGTGTGCCAGTGAGGAAGACCAAGGCCTGTACGACCATGCCTCATGACTCATGACTGACGCGCTGTACATGTCGAACTAACTGTACCTAAGTACTTCTGACTGCATCAGCACAACATTAGATCTACGTAATCTACATATATATAATATCTCTCTCTCTCTATATCTCTCTCTCTCTATATATATATAATTATATATATAATTATATATATACATATCTACAGTATTATACATATAGATATATCGCGTTATACGCAAGTGTCAGTAAGTGTCGTATTGAATGCCGCTCATTTGGTCAGCTTCCAAGCTTTTGGTGGCCTCACATCGCTACAGGTTTTCTCCACAGCCAAGGACAACCAGTCACTAGTGACTGCATGAAACTCAGAAACGTCGATTGATCTGAGTTTGAGGGCTTCACCGAGTTCTGGAAAACTCAGAAAGAACAAGAGCTGCAACACACAAGCAGAAAAGTGCAGAGTCATAGAACTCCACTGAACGCATGCTGGAATGTAAAGCAATTTCTATGTTGCCATGTTTCCAAGTGTTTCTACAGGGTGGATCTCATACTGAGGTAGAGGTTGTTCAGGGCGAATTCAAGAGAGCTTCAGAGAACAAAGAGCTTGGAGTGTTTCTTTTGGAAGGAGCCTGCACTTTGTTGCACAAGTTGGCCATGATATCTGCAAGTCACGGTGACTACTGCACGGTATTTGCCTTTAGTGTATTAGAAGGTTTCACGTGGCAGGAATTGGCGCAGCTCCAGCGGGAATCCCTCAAATTGAGGCACATGGATGACATGGATGACATGGCATGGCAGTTTGACACTTTGGGCATTAGTGCAACGATGTGCAACGGCAAGTTTCGTGCTGAGAGGTGACATTTGATGTGGACAGCAATGGAATCCTCAGCGTTTGTGCCATGGACAAAGCAACACGTCAGGAGCTGTGGGCCAGAGATGTTTGTCGCTCGACATGGTCAGTTTATGCATGGCTTTGAAAGTGAGCAGTACAGTCAGTACAAATAACTACAAGATAACTACAAGATAACTACAAGATAACTACATGTACAGTCAGTGATAGTAACATGGGATAAGATTGGTGTGGGAAGACAGGAGAAACAAGTCACCATCTCCGGATCTTCGACACTGGCTCCAGAAGCTTGGATGCACTGAGGCCCTTTCCACATATTTTTCCATGGTTTGGAAACACGAAAGATGTTGAGATTTGAGTTTTTTTAAATCTCGGGCACATGTGCAGTGGGAAGTGTAGAAGTCTATGGCTTGCTTAGCACAGCTTTCACTTGGAACATGCTTCACTTTCTCATAGCTTTCTGGTAGTAGTGACTATGCCCTGAATCAGGAAGATGTGCAAGAAAAAGTGAAGGAGGCTGCTGTGCACTGTTGTGCACATGGCCATAGCGGCCATAGCATCTCCATTATCTTGGGTATCTTAGTACTCTCTGGTGCCACAAGCTTTGCGTGAGACTTGAAGGCCCGCCAGAAAGCTGAGGAGGAAGCTGCATATGTAGCAGTCAGAAGCCTGGGATATCTCTTTTGTTGCGATTGCTGCCACTTTCGTGTTGTGAGGTGACCATGGTGAAGAACGATGCAGAATCAGCTGCATTTGCAGTTGAGCGGCTCTTGAGGTCGGCTTTCATTGCAAGACACAGATCGAATGCAAGTTGAGACAACGGCAGCAAAAGCTTTGCGCGGCTGTGAATGTTTCAAAAGCAGCTCGCACTGCAGGGATCAATCCAAGAAGCTGAAACCAGCCAAGGTTGAGGCAATCCTGCTTGATCTGCTTGGGCTTCTGGATTATGCTTGATTTTTTCGTGGAATACCAGTGCAGCTGTATTGCCAAGCTCTTGAAAGAGATGCATCCCTTTTTGTACTAGACTATCTTGACCTACTTAATTGAGCGCAGCACAGGTCCTTGAATCAAAGCTTCTCCTGGCGAGAGACCTGCTAAAAGAAGAGCCAGTCAACACTGAACTTCTGAAGGAGGTCACCGAGGCTCCTTCACCAGCAACACGTTCAATTTTGACGTCAGTTTTGCCCACTTTCTTCATGTTTCTTTCATATGTTCAGGTTTTTCCCAATACCCTTTCTCTTTTTGTGTTGCTTAGCCGTTGCTTCACCTTGCTTCGTCTGAAAATGCCGTGTGTCAGAGAGGATCTTCGTACAGAAGTCAGGGACATCGTCAAGCGCAAGGCGAGGGTGCACAGCAGTTTTGCCAGCAGTGCGATCAAAGCATGAAGAAGTCTGAAGAAGCAGCGAAGAAGCACTCCAAACACTGTTGTGACATGTTGTGACTAGGTTGAGGAAGCTTATGATGTAGAACAAGGCCGGTCGCGGTTCGGGCCGATGCTGCACCTTCTCCGTCCCAGTTGTGCAGCGCCGGTTTCAAATTTGCATGTTGCAGTGTTTTTGCTGGAGATGAACGGGAAAGCAACTTTTGCAGGCAATGACACTGGCTCTCACGTTTTTTTTGCACACATTTGATGACAATGTGATCTGATGAGATTTTGCATGACAGGCTTTGTGGCCGGAGAGGAGGGTGAAGAGAAGAAGCGAAAGCGAGCAGCTTTGTAGCGGAATCAAGTGCTGGCTCACCCTGAACTGATACAGTGGCAGCAGGTAGGCACAATCTAACAAGAGAAGCCATTGAGCAAAGAAAACGCATGTTTTACTTTTGGTACCTGTTGGTCACTTTGGAACGCTTCCGGATCTCATTTTCGTAGAAGGATCTGTGAATGGTCCTCAACCCAGTGGTCTCACCCAACATTTTTCCCAGCTTCTGGCCGCGTTTGCGTTAAAAGAGCCTCTTTGCACGTTGATGTCTCGGTCCTTGATGGGAGCAACTCTTGCAAAGAATATGGGTGGAAACAGACCTTCAACAAATGCCTGAGAACGCTGCAACAAATGGCTTTAAGATCAAAGACGAGGATATCACTGATATCACTGTCAAATTCATGGCCAACAAGCCAACCTAGCCGGACCTAGCCAATGCGGCGAAGCCCTGTATCCCACTTGAACGCGAAAAACGTGGTAAGAATATGTAAAAATTATAAACTGGTCAAGTTGATGCAGGGTTCAGGAGTTAGTAAACACGTTGCAATTAGGGTCCGCAAAAGGCCTGCTGCGCACGTGCGAACTGCTCCAGACGAACGATTGCCTTGCGCTTTAACCGTCACTATTGTCGGATATCCTCGATGGAACAAACAACTTTGCGGTTGAAACGTTGCCCCTCTTTGAAGGAATCTTGCAAGAATATTCCGAATTGCGATTTTGAACGCGCAGTTCGCCCATCCGAGCATCAATTTCAAAGCCCTTCACAATTTTATTACAGTATATTCACGTGCCAATGAACGCATGGATTGAAACTTGTGCGAACGGACTTTCTGGACCTGCATTTCAGAAGGAGTAGGAGCATAGTGAGGGAAGAATTGCGGACATTCAGCCGACGGTAGACATGAACCGCTGTGTTTCACAAAAGGGACGTCACAAACGGAGTGCTGATAATTGGCCAGTAAACGTGCGAGCTGGGCCCCTGCTGACAAACGAAAGGTCGGGATCATGTATGCAGTAAGCGAAAAGTTGTGATTTTGCCAACTACAATCGACGTCATCACTGCGTTGGCAGCTGCAGGGGGAACTATTGCAATAGACCCAAACATGCAGTGAGAGGATACTCACTGAAAAATACCTTGGCGCGCTCTTCAAACCTCAATGATGGGTTCCTTCTGGTTGCTGTCTTGATATTCTTACTGATCCCTGCTCTGTTCTTTGTGCTCCTCTCTGATTGCAGGCCTCAACCAACCCTAACATTTCCGTTGGATAAACCGTTGGTGAAACACTAGTAAATAACAAATTGCGTCTCAGTGCAATTGACCTGAAAGAAATTGAGCAAGATCCTCCATATATCGCATCCTAATCCTTCTGTCACGGGAGCATGCTTCGAACTTGGATGTCCAGTGGCGGCGAGGCTTCCCAGCTAGACGTGGGCTAACGGGCGTCCACCTCAGAGATCCGCAGAGTACGTTTGATTCATCTGTTCGGAGGTAAACTACCAATATAGACACCCATTTTCCAAAGAGTGCCTAAACAGTAGTGAGACGTGTTTTAATGTGCTCGTTCCAATCATGCAGAGATGCCAGAATGGCGCCCTCAATCCAAATCTGTGGGAGGGCCAATGTGCAAAACAATTTTCGACATAACGCGTTCACCTGGTTCAAATCACCCTGGGACCTCCAACGGGAAAAAAAATATTGTAGTTCTTGTGTTTGCCTAAATCGCTAAGTTTCTTGTGTAAATGCCTATCTTGACAAGAATTATATACCTATTCCAATTGTTTGCATCCATTCTACAATTTTTTGGCCTGCCATTCTGGCACAGCAGTTTCTCTGCTATCAATTCGAACCATTAGCACTTGGAAAATAAACATGCATTGGGCAAATCAAGATTTGCTCCGCAGAACACAGAGGAGCTTTATGGCATCCTAAATGGATTTTGAAAGCGCAATGATTCGCAAATACCACAGAAGCCACCGAAAGACGCTTTTTGCGACAAGAACGCCCTGCAAAATCCCCGCAAACACCCTGCAAACGCCCGCAAACACCCGCAAATGCCCGCAATACGAGAAACGTGGTAATTCTTGTTGTTTTCCAATCATGGGAAGTGTTTTTTTCCCCAAGCAGTATGGCCACACTGAAGGGGTTCTTACGGGAAGTGTTAAGGCCCGGTGTTCAATTGAGGTGGTATCGGTAGCGTCCGGCATTTTCCGTGTAAATTTCCGCACAAAATGCCTCTTGTGACATGTCCATGTGCATTTCGAATGCGCAGGCTCGCAGAAGGTGTGCTTCCCGGTCTTGGGATCGGTCTTTCTCCTCAACATCCTCCTCCTCAACATCATCATCATCATCATCATCATCGTCATCATCATCTTCTTCTTCCTCCTTCTCAACATCCACATCATCATCATTATCAACATCCATTTTTTCTTCTTCTTCGTCTTCTTCCTCCTCCTCTTCTTCTTCTTCTTCTCATCATCATCATCATCATTATCATCACCATCATCATTATCATCGTCATCGTCACCATCATTATCATCACCATCATTTCCATCAAAATCATCATCATCATCATCATCATCATCACCATCATCACCATCCTCCTTATCCTCCTCCTCATCATCACCGTCATCATCATCATCATCATCATCATCGTCACCATCACCATCATCATCACCATCCTCCTCATCATCATCACCGTCATCATCATCATCATCATCATCGTCATCATCACCATTATCATCACCATCACTGTCATCACCACTATCATCATCACTATCATCATCACTATCATCAACACTATCATCATCATCATCATCACCATCACCATCACCATCAGCATCATCATCATCATCATCATCATCATCATCACCATCACCGCCTTCAGCATCAGCATCAGCATCAGCATCATCATCATCATCATCATCATCCTCATCCTCATCGTCATCGTCATCGTCATGATCATCCTCATCGTCAACATCATCAACAACATCACCATCATCTTCAAGGTCATCATCAACAGTAATAGCATCATCAGCATGATAATACACTCTCCTTTTACTCTCCCCGCACTGGTTGGGGTCTCTTGCCGGGATATTCTTTTCAGTCTTTCTGCTAGATGGGTTTGCTAGAAACTTGAAAATTCATACTCAAGCCATGTGGTTGTGCCGCTAGTATGCGTGGGTGAAGGGGAGAATATTGGTTTGGAAATGCAATGTGGGGCACCCAAGAAATTTGAAAATATATGCGCCCCAAAAACTCGACATGATTTTCTTTATTTCGCCATGATTTTCAGCAACACGCCGTGAACGACATATTTCTTTCGAAACGATATGGAATCATGAACGCCTAGAAGTATCTTGTCAAGGGAGGATCAAGGACTGTGGTGAACGGTGCGGTGCCCTGAACCAAACATGGCAATTGAGGTGGCAACAGCTTCAAAAACAGCAAACGGTCCTGCAAACGCACCGTCCGGTCACAAAGAACTGTTGCGTCTGGGGAATGGTACGTTTCCAGCGAACTACGACCAGAACGTTTCACACCGAGTCTGCAACCCACATAACAATTTGCGTCCAAAATCACATGTTTTCACCTGGATTTGTTCACCGTGTTTTGTTGTCAGATGCGCCGGAAGTTGAGATTCTTTTGCCAAAATAACTGTTTTCGATAAATTTAAGCAAAGACGATCCGGCCTTCAGCAAGCGCGTCCATAAAACAAACCAGCAGAAACATTGCCTCGCATACAGATCGGCCAAATTGCAAAAAAAACAGTTGCAATTTAAAAAATTATGAAATTCGGTAAGTGGTCCTGGAAACTCTTCTAAATTGGATTTGTTTGTTCCATGTCTACCCCACCCGCTCATAGCCCATTGGAGGATAACCGAGGGCTCAATCGCACCCTATATTTCACGCCGGCACCGATTGCAAAATCACAGCTCCGCGCAAATCGCTCTCCACACGCCCAGTTTGCTACCAATACAAGCACAATGAATGATCCAAACCAAATGTCCCAAACGCCATATTGTACCGAATGCCGTCCAAAGTTTGTCCCAAGTCACTCGGCCAAATGTGTTTGAAAGGTTTCAACTCACAACCCAAGTGTGCAAGTTGACAGCCAACAACTTGGCAATGACAATGTTAGCTCTCCTGTCACCAAACGTTCGTCCAATTGAAACCCTGAGCGAAAACCGTGTTGTTCTTGTGGTATCGCGTGGTTGGGTGAAGGACAGCTTCAACACGCGACAGAATCATGATGAATCATGTAAGTGTGTTTTTTTTAGCAACCGGGTGCTAGCAATTTGCCTGATGCTTGAAGACTTTGTGGTTTTTGCTGATTTTCGAAACATAACAATCTTTAGATTTTATCAAGGTTGTTACTGCCTTCTTCTCCTTCTCCTTCTTCTCCTCCTTCTCCTTCTCCTCCGGCAGCCTCGGACTACGCCCACAACTGCGAGCGCCAGATCTCAATGGGCACTGCCGGACCTCAACCGCGAGCTCGGGAGCTCAATGGGCACTGCCGATCTCAACCACGAGCGGGCACTGCTGGACTTCAACTGCGAACTCTGGATTTGAGTGGGGGACTGCTGGAGCCCAACCGCAAGTTCCAGAGCTCAGCGGGCACTGCCGGACCGTAGCCGCAAACGCGGCCTCACCGGCGAGCGCCAGATGTCAGAGCCAGATCTAAATGGTTTGCGGGACCCCAAGTGCAAGCGGAGGATTTCGCTTAGAATGTAAATAGAATGTCAGATAGAATGTCAGAAGAGATGTCATGAAAAATTTTTGATACAATGTCAGAGAGAAAGTCGAGAGAATATCAGACAGAATGCAAGAATAGACGGCCGGATAGAATGCCGGAGAGAATGCCGCAATCATTGCCAGAAAATATGCCAGATCACATTTCATGTCAAATAGAATGCCAGATAGAATGTCCGCATATGACTGTCATATCATGTGACTTACAGTATACAACTTATATACTTTAAATATGTCCGGATCGTTTGCCAAAAAATATGTTAGAATAATG